TTTGAAAAACAAACACAGTTTGACAAGCCTGAAGCGATATCCCTCCAATAACCCCCAACAACTCACTCACCTGAAACTACGAGGAGGATAAAAAATCTCATATCTAAATCTGTATAACTATAGCAAACCAGTGTCCACTCATCAGAGGCAGTCGGTCAGCCGAGGTAGTCCCCACTGCTGTGACATGTTCACTGACCAAAAGGCGTGTCAGTGAACACTTTCGTCATTCTTCTTCCCAATTTCTGAAATAGCGGCACCTCCCGCTCTCTCTCGTGAAGCCAACACGGAAGTGACTTAAACTGTAATTCATCGACTGACCGCTAGAGGCTGGCTGCAAAAGGGAGTCAGTCCCATAGACTCCCCATGTTAAAACGGCCAACTTTACAGCAGAAAAAAACATGTTTACAGCCTGGTTCAAAAAGTGCTTTTGGTCTATATAGCTAATTTGGCCCTTCATGACAAATGTGAGGGGGGTGAATTTTTTTATAACTCATCCGTTTAAATTAAATTAAGCCTTAAAGTTCTGCATAATTAAGGGCGTGGCCACTTGAGTGACAGGTGGATTGCCGCTGCGGTCACCACCGTCGAGCTAGGTGGGCGTGGCTTCAGCAGCCAGCTCCGCCCACTTTAGGCTTCAAAAACGCTCTTCGGAAATCTACGGATGACGTCACGGACACTACGTCCATGTTTTTAGTCAGTGCGACTCTTGTAGTGAAGACGGAAATGCCTTTATTGCGGGCGACTTTAAGCGAAATTGCGCCCACCGACCGACGACTTCTGTCTCTGAGCAGTGTATGTTAGAAACATGCGAAAATAATGTTACTGTTTATCAGGCTTTCCTGGGTGCGGTATTCCTGTGGCCACAACTAATCAGACTGATATTCTGTCGATGTGGGCTTGTATTCTAACCCCCTTTTAAATAAATCAGTTACTCAGAGGTCCTCGAGGGACAAAAAAAGTCTGTCAAAACGGTCATAATAATATGTTTCCCGCTTTCACTGACATGCTGTTGTACCAGCATCAGCCCTAAACGACCAAAAACGCATTAATTCTCAAGATTTCACCACTTTAAATGTCAGTTTGTTAACATAACGCCAATGTTGTTGTTTTTTTATGAAATTTTTTTTTTTTTTAAATCTAGGCCTAGGTCATATTTGTATTATTAGCTGATATCTTTATTATCGATACATATGTAAAGTAGCGAGCACAGATCCAGTATCTCAGAAGGTAGAAGCAGTAACTTACCTGAAGCGGCGAAGTTACCAACCGTCGAGCAGAGAGAAGAGTGAGGAACGCTAGACTCTGCCTGGCAACAGTGAGCAGCACAACTAATCAGACTGATATTCTGTCGATGTGGGCTTGTATTCTAACCCCTTTTTAAATAAATCAGTTACTCAGAGGTCCTCGAGGGACAAAAAAAGTCTGTCAAAACGGTCATAATAATATGTTTCCCGCTTTCACTGACATGCTGTTGTACCAGCATCAGCCCTAAACGACCAAAAATGCATTAATTCTCAAGATTTCACCACTTTAAATGTCAGTTTGTTAACATAACGCCAATGTTGTTGTTTTTTTATGATTTTTTTTTTTTTTTTTAAATCTAGGCCTAGGTCATATTTTTATTATTAGCTGATATCTTTATTATCGATACATATGTAAAGTAGCGAGCCCAGATCCAGTATCTCAGAAGGTAGAAGCAGTAACTTACCTGAAGCGGCGAAGTTACCAACCGTCGAGCAGAGAGAAGAGTGAGGAACGCTAGACTCTGCCTGGCAACAGTGAGCAGTCCCAGTCTGTTGTAACCGGTCTCGACTGGTTGAAGGCGCATTTGATTCGCTGCTCACTCACAGCATGATTTGACTGTAAACCATACTTGGTGGCTGGAGATGTATGTAGCACCCGTTTGCAGTTGGTGGCGGATGAGTGAATGTTGTTGTTTCGTGTTAAAATGTAAAACAAAATTTCAAAATTTGCTAAATGTATATAATGAGCGAGTACATCATGAATTAATCTTCCAAACTGCGTTTTGGTCTTATTCCGAATCACTCCGGTACACTTATAATAAGTACTTATATTTGGACTATTGGGTCACCGCTGCGGAATAACACATACCTGCGTGAATCGCCATAGATATAAACTTAGAGAAGTAGCTCCGGTCGGAATGTTCTTCCGCGGGATGTGTGCAGTTCTGTTTATTAACCCCTAGAGCGCCAAAAGTTACATAGAGCTGCTTTAATAGCCTTAATATTTGATTTCGGTCACATGTGGCGGCATGAAACGCCCTTTACCTCCGTGCCGTCATCGTTTTTCTTAAATAAAAAATGTCACATTAACGAATACCAAGTTGATATTAAGACAAAACAATCAACCAAGTACACAAGAGCAGAAAAGCATACATTAAAACCATCTCAATCATACATAATCATACATAATCATACATGAAAACCATCTCAAATCTACGGAAGCCCTAAGCTCATGGGGCTCATGTTGTTGCTCTTGTGTGTGTGTTCTCTTGTTGTTGTTTATTCTTGGTCTGGAGTGCGATAAAAACACCTAAGCATCAAAGATGAGTGAATAATTATGTATTTATTTATTTATTCAAATATTAATTTTGGGACTCAAATCTGTAACAGCTTTATGTTCGAGCACACTTCTGAAAAATGACCAATGGGACACCCTACTACGGTCTCTGAACTTCACAGACATTGTAAGACCACAAGACTGAACGTTCACACATATTTGGGACAGGGCCAGTGTCAGGTTCATGGACCTTTTTCACACTTCCTGGTTTCTCAGCAGCGAGCGGAAGTCGTCATAGTTGGGTTAACTTGAAGAGCAGTGAACGGGAGAGTACCACAAATATATAATTTTTTGCATCTGTCAAACATTCAAAAGTTCACTGAGAGCACAATAATACAACAAAAAATAAAGAAAGAATAGCCTATGTGTTCTCTTTTAATGTGAAATTATGATAAATCATTTGATTTAGCATGCTCACACAAATTAATAAATGTGTGAAATTACATTTTTAATCCTAAATCATATAAAACATCTATGATGAAGTCTTAAGTCTTTATGTTAGGAACAAACGTACGTTTCTGTTAAGTTCGCTTTACGATATCGTTTTCATTCATTTTCCCCTCGCTAGTAAAATGCTGGAGATGTGTGACGTTTGCTTCAAAGAGACGTGTTAAGGGAGGGTTTTACAGTAGTGCTGGCCCGACAGTGGAAAGCGGCTTGATTTTGGGCTCTCGGCTTGAGGTGCGAGGCCATTGGCCCAGCACGGCTCATTGTTAGCCCTGGCCCGACAGTGGAAAAGCGGCTATTGAGGGTTACAGGCAGGGGCCCAGGGCTCTCTCAACACACTAAAGACAGTCATTGGTCGCCATCTAGTGGTGTAATGATAGAACCTACAGCAAGAGGGAATTCATCTTTTTCTATAGTTCTAAAATATTAGCTCTAAAACAATAAACACTAATATTTGGGAAAGTGAAAATCAATTTCTCAAATGTGTGGGAACTCCTGTGTTTTAGCTTTAAATGTGACTTTAGTAAATTAAAAGCATGTCATGATTTCAAACAGAGAATGTGAACAAATTGATAAACTGAACGATTCTTTAGCTGCAAGCTAGCGTAACCCGTTACATGTTCTCTGTCTCTTTGAACCTTTGTTTAGTCCAGTTTCCCGTCTCTTTTGGCTCCATTCATTACTCCCTGATTGTGTCCAGGAACTCACACGGCGACCCTTGAGGAGCATCATGGATAAGCAGTGATTGGAGATGCTTCTTTACTCCATAGCAGTAAAGATCAACGAGAGAAAAGTCCAGGAAATCAGTGAGATATAGGGAATGTCCAAAAAGTCTCTGTTGTATACGTGGACCTCAAGGGACCCGTTATAGAGAAGAAAAAAATCACCCACTGACTTTCAAAGCTGCTACATAGTAACGACTTTCTACTTTGAGGAACTTGATAGAAATGTAGTGGAGTGAAAAGTACAATATTTGTCTTTCAAATGTAGTGAAGTTAAAGTCATAAGTTCCCAGAAAAAATAATACTGAAGTAAAGTACAGATACTCAAAACGTGTACTTAAGTACAATACTCAAGTAAATGTACTTAGTTACTGTCCGCCTCTGCATATCATAAAACAAAGCAAACATCTATGCATGGAAACTTTGACAGAAACGGTGATGTTTGAGAACTGGCGGCAGTAATGGGCATTTTCTTTGTGGTTCAGAGGTGGGAGGAAGTCACACATATGCAAGTCCTTTAGGTTTCAAACCTGCAGTGCAAACAATCAAACAAAGACAAGTCAACACAAATGTTAAATTCTGTGGAAAATGTACACGCACACAAAGGACTAAGTCAGAAACTGGCTAAAAACGCATTATTTTTCACATAATTTACCTTTATTCCACACCGCTCTGTCCCTTCTGAGAAACGTGCTGATCATTTCCTGCTTTTATGAAGCCCCTCCCTCAGAAATAGGCGAATTGATTTTTACGTGCACCTCTACTTTTCTCTTCCTCTTCTCTAAAGCAGCGCAGCATGGCCCCGCCCCCTTTGCTGCCTTTTCCCGAGGGCGGGGTTTATCTGGGTTTGTGATGTCACGAACCCGGGAAGTAACTCGTTGTAGTCCCTACCAGTCGTTTTTGTAGGCATTAAACTGCCAGAATTTTAAAAGACGATATCTCCGTTTGCATTGAACTTTCAGCTTCATGACTTTGCAGATATTGTTTATGCTCAAACAGCAACATTACACACTAACTAACTTTAAAAAAGTGAAATCGCAATGAACCACCCCTTTAACCACAATTCACTGATCAGGACATTAGCCTTTCCCTTTGCTTTTTTAAAAAATGTTTGAGGTGGGTGAGTGAACTTGTAGGCATCTCTTTACAGGAAGAAGAGTCAATGTTGTTTTAGGAGCTACTCAACTAAATAAAAGCACTGAGACAATATGGTTTTATAAAAGTGGTGATCTTACCACCCGTCTAGCACAGATGAATAAAGGGAACGTTTTTACCTATTATGAAAAAAAACTTGATGGCAGATTGCAGCTAGATCAAGAGAGCGGATCACTGACCATCTGGAACATCAGTACCAGTGATTCTGGAGTTTATGAAGTATCTCTCACCAACAGGGTAGACATCTCTGAGAGGAAGATCAGAGTTGATGTATATGGTAAGTTACAGCTGCTGCCGAAACAAACAATAAATTAGGCCTCAACATCGTGCTTTAAAATCAGTTAATTCACACTTGTGCATTATCTCCTACGTTATATTAATTGGTTACAATAATATTCAAATATTATCATAAATAATGTTGTAGATAAGATGTTACTTAATTAATAAATATCTGTTTGATTTGATGGTTTCTGCAAAATGTGGCTATTAAAAGATTTAACTTTTTTCTTCTCCTAAAGCACCGGTGTCTGTACCTACTATTGTGCACCGGTCCACAGGTGAGTCTTTTTAGTCAGTTCACTTGTCCTGTAGGGTTCCTCTAAATCACTGCTGGACGAGAGGGGCAGGAGCTTGTTTTTGAGTCAGTAAAGCAACAAAATAAAGACTGCCTGAACTTTAACACTGAAATGTAACATAAAAACAAATCTCTGCAGGTACTTTAAAGCAGCCACAAGCAACGGAGGATTTCTGCTCTGTGGTCTGCTCTGTGAAAAATGATCGAGACGTGTCTATCTCGTGGTATAAAGGGAGTGAAATGCTGAACCAGACCAGCAATCCTGATCTCAGCATCAACCTCAGTTTACCATTAGAGCTTCATTATAACGATCCAGAGACCTACAGCTGCACGGCTGTGAATCCAGTGAGCAATAAGAGCGTCTGTCTTCACAAGAAAGAGATCTGCCCACGACAGGAAGGTGTGAGAAATCAATCACCACAAAACACTTTTCCTACTACAATGACATCTGTGCAAAGTGCAGTGGCCTTTTTTTTTCTACAGAAGATGTTTATGGACAAGTCTCATCTCTTTCAGATTGTCTGGATCACTGTGGCTCCACTGAGGCTCTGATTCGTCTGGTTCTGTCTGGTCTGGTGGGAATCACCACCGTTGGGTTTCTTATTGAGAATCTGAGGTTCTGCTCATCTCGGAGAAGAGCTGCTGCTTCTGTGTGATGGTGACTTGCACAAGAGTTTGCAGGGTGTTATATATGACATTGGTACCATGAGATACACATGAGCGAAGCACCTGTTGGTTGCAGTATTCTTTATTTATTGCTGTGGAGATAAAAGTATAGATCTGGTCAAATAATTTAACTTTACTAGAGTAAATGTGACCTGTATGCTTTGCAAGTATATAAAATGCACTCATTTATGCACATAGTAAAACGTAAGCATATTCGTGTGTGAGTGAGTATATGCAATAATGTCTATAAATTTATTGATTTTTCGTTTGACTGTTATTATTATCATCGATGATGTATTAAAGTTTTCGTTTCAGCTAAAACTTTAATATGCTGTAACAGCATTAACTGGTAGCATGAACACATCCCCAGCTGTGTCCCAAATGACGCACTATACACTATGCACTTATACACTATGTACTCAACAATGTAGTGTATGAATTATATAAGGTTATTTTGTCATTCATAATAGCCCCTCCCCCTTCGCTACATAATTAAAGCTGCTACAGTTGAGTGCATGAAGTGTCCAGCATGGCTGTAATATGACTGCATTAAAAACTTAGATAACATAAACATTAAAAGAACATTTTCGGTTATTTAAGGGCATCATCCGGGTATGAAAGTGTACTTTTTCTTTTTGGAATTTTCAGTGTGAACGCACAACTCACTGTGTGCTTTTAAAGGGGTCATATGATGCTATTTTAAAGATCATTATTTTGTGTATTTGGTGTAACAGAATATGTTGACATGCTTTAATGTTCAAAACCCACATTCTTTTTCAAATACTGTAGATTATTGTAGGTCCTCTATGCCCCGGCTCTCTCAAACGCTTCGTTTTCTACAAAGCCCCTCCTTCCGACAAGCGCAGTCTGCTCTGATTGGCCAGCTGACCCAGTGCATTGTGATTGGCCGAACACCGCAAGCACTCGTCGGAAATGTAACGCCCCTTACCATAATCGCGAGCTTCATCTTTCAAAATAAATATCAAGACAGTTAATAATGTCGTTAGCTTTACCATCAGTTCAAGCCTGAAAGGGCAACAGAGTCGCGTGACAGACACAGTGATGATGCAGTACACAAGCCGCGGTTAAGACAGCTGACGTGCTATGATTTCTGACAGACAGTTCACTCTCCTGTGATGTGACCCTGTTTCCCTCACACACACATACACACACACACGACACGTTACTCTGCGCTGCGCAAAAATTGCATTTGAACAGTCAATAGCAAATACTTACACTAATAACAAATCATACTTACAGTCGCTGATTCAGAAGTGCCAGATTGCCATAGCAAAGTCAGAATTGACCCATTTTTTTAAAAATAGCCTTTGTGCACAGCCAGCCTTGTACTCTTCTAGGTTCAAAAAACTGTCGTCCATAAAATGCGTTGCAGAAATTCGAACATCTGGGTTGTGCTGTTCTGTTGTAAATAAATCTTAACCAATGATTCCTAATTGCATCTACTTCCGGAAGGCCAAATAAAGTGCTTTTGCTTTCGCCTAGAAACACACAGCGTCTCCCTGACATGCTGCTTCAACACTAACTGCGGTTACTGAAACCACGCCTTCTTTCTTTGCGTGCACATTTGGGCCGCATTATGCTAATATTTCCACATAGTGAGGTAGGTATGTGGGGGCGTGTTAGAACGAGGCGTTTTAGGTAGGCGTGGCTGACTCTTAACTTTTATAAAGAATATCTCTTTGGATTTGAGACTTTAGTCTTTGCAACTTTACAGATCTTCTTTATGCACCAAGAGCTTGTAACACTCCAAAGAGAACGGAAAACTTGAAATCGCATCATATGACCCCTTTAATGCAATGACTATTCAAATTTCTTTATTCGGGCGTAGACGCCTTGGTCACGTGGCTTTTCTCAGGTTAGGATGGACCAATCTCGATTATTATTACTTAATGAGCCTTTTAAAAATATATATTATTTATAGATTTCCGTAGCGGATTTTTATATTTATACCAAAAACAATTCTTTAAAATGAACATGTTAGAAGGATAATACGTTTTCCTCATACAAACGTCTGTAATAATAAAAATAATAATAAAAAATACGTCCTGAGATTTGAATGGGGCTCAATGGCGAACGGGCTCTCTGGGCCACAAAGCGCCCTCTGCTGGAATAACGACTGAACGCGACTCGCGTCAAACAGACTTCGGCTGGAGTGGAAGGGCTAGACGGCATACAGCAAAACCTACTGGGCATGCGCACATCAATACACCGTAATTTTTCTCACACTGTACAACTCTTTATCACAACCCTGCTAAAAGTGCCAGTACGTGCGCTCATTGGCGCCCCTTCAGCTGGTGGCACCCTAGGTGACCGCCTAGAAACGGCCCTGCGTTCAGTTATGATAGTCAGCATAAAACTCTCTCTCCAAGATGATATATTCCCATTATAATACTTTTAAGTTTCAGGAAGGAAGGAATTATCACAAACAGAAAGATTATTAGTAGCCTTTCTTTTTCTCATGATTTCTATCTTATATTCATGAATGTATTGAATGTAAGAATACAAATAGTTAACAGAATAAACATGTTTAAATTGTATAATGTGCACCAAATATTTTTTTTCCAAGATATTGTTTTTGCTGCTAAAGTATACAGTCAGCTAGTTTAATTTCAAAGCTTATATATTTTTATTCAAATGTAGTTTTTCTCTGTAATGAGGAAGTGAGTATTTAGTGGATTGTGTTTAACAAGGGGTTTAAAGAAAGAGTGAGCATTAGTTCCACAAACACAGTAATGTTATTCTGTAGTGGTCTAGAAAACAAATAGCGCTGGTGTTGGATATGTATTGGCCAATTCTTAGAATTTGGAATACTTTATGTAATCTTACACTGCAAAATAATAACTCAAAAAGATTAAAAGATAACATCATAATTATTTACTGATCCCTTAAATTAATCACAATTATATAATGAAAGCCATAAAAACAGACAATTAATCATGATAATCGCCATAATCGTACAATGCCCTAAAACAGACAATTAATCGCAATAACCGTGACTATTGTTTAGACAATTAATCGTCAGCCAAATTGCGTAATTGTGACAGCCCTACTTATACCTTTTGTTCTTTAATATTTTGAATTGTTTTTAGCTTTATTTTTAGTTTTTCATTTAAATGTTAAGTTTTGAAATTTTGTTGTATGCATTTGTCATTTTTATTTAATTTCTTTATTTTTAAAAATGTGTATAGGTAGTATTTATAAAGTTTTAGCTTTTAGCTTTGGATCTGTTTTTAGTTGTTTTAATACTACAATTGATTGCTTCTGTTGTCCTCATTTTTGAAGTCGCTTTGGATAAAAGCGTCTGTTAAATGACTAAATAAATAAAATAATAAATAAATATATTATATAATCAAAAACATTTATTTTGGATGCGATTAATCGTTTGACAGCACTTATATAAAATGCACTTTTATAAGTGTAGGGAGAAAAAAGTACCATAGTAATTGACTATCATGGTTATATTGTGGTATTATTACCTTGGAATATCATGCAAATATCGTGGTGTTGAATAAAATACCCATTCATTACCAAACATCTTTTCAACTTATACTTCACTATACCATGGCATCTCTGTAGTATTATTTTGTAAAGGCCTGAAAGCTGCTTACAATGTTTTATGGAGATACATTGCATGAGTTTACAGTACTAGCAATGACTTTAGTAACTGGTATTTTGGAGGAAACTATTACTATGGTAATTTTGTATATCTGTTTTATGTTGATCCGTTCTCTGTTGGAGACATAAGTCATATAATGTGTTAAAAACGGTCTAGAGTTCAGTGTTTGTCAGTTTTATGTGACTGTGTTTAAAATAGTGTTTAAGATCAGTTTTTTTACCATATGATTCATCAATCACATCAAAACACCTGTTAAAGGGATAGTTCACCCAAAAATGAAAATGTGATGTTTATCTGCTTACCCCCAGGGCATCCAAGATGTAGGTGACTTTGTTTCTTCAGTAGAACACAAATTATTATTTTTAAGTCCAGCCGTTGCAGTCTGTCAGTCGTATAATGCATGGCAAGGGTAACAAAATAAAAGTAAAGAGTAAAAAAAAACATGCACAGACAAATCCAAATTAAACCCTGCGGCTCGTGACGACACATTGATGTCCTAAGACACGAAATGATCAGTTTGTGCGAGAAACCGAACAGTATTTTTATCATATTTTACTTCTAATACAGCACTATGTCCAACTGTCTTTGGGCGCGCACACGGCATCCGGTGCGTGAGGTGTGTAGTGCTCTGCCGTAGTTTACGCAAGTGCCGGAAGTGATCTCTCGCGCGTATACGTCACTCATTGTTTAGACAGTGCACAGTCATTGTAGGTACGACGGCTCATCAAAATGGTACTTACTTGCGCTTATCCGGATTGTTCAAACTTTCCACGTATTCCCAACTTCTGAACCTGCTCTCCTGAAGTTATGGTTGATTGCTCTTCGGCTGGATATCAACACACCCATTAACGTAAACTACGCCAGAGCGCGTACTAGGGCTGCACGATAAATCGCATGCGTTGTTCACTGACGAGCTGTGCAAAACCACGTTCATATTCGCACGATTTTTTTGCGCAGCTCGTCAGTGAACAACGGCTCTGTGTAGTTAATGCTGTTCAATGTGAAAGCACGCACGTTATGGAGATTTACCTTAGGTACGACGGCTAATCAAAATGGTACTTACTTGCGCTTATCCGGATTGTTCAAACTTTCCACGTATTCCCAACTTCTGAGCCTGCTCGCCTGAAGTTATGGTTGATTGCTCTTCGGCTGGATATCAACACACCCATTAACGTAAACTACGCCAGAGCGCGTACTAGGGCTGCACGATAAATCGCATGCGTTGTTCACTGACGAGCTGTGCAAAACCACGTTCATATTCGCACGATTTTTTTGCGCAGCTCGTCAGTGAACAACGGCTCTGTGTAGTTAATGCTGTTCAATGTGAAAGCACGCACGTGTAGAGATTTACCACTGATTACAGAACCGGCTTTACTGATAAGATGTGCGTAAAATATCGCATGCGATTTATCATGCAGCCCTAGCGCGTACACACCTCACGCACCGGATGCTGTGCA